TTTTCTATCACCCTACACCTAAACCTACCCCTCACAGAAAACTACTGGCAACTTTTGAATTTCATAAAACACCATTTTGTATGTTTTTTAAAGCCTTTTGTTTTACAGGGACACAGGACGTGTCCTCATAAACCATGTTTATGTTGTAGTACCCATGACATTATACACATTTGTGTCCTCATAAACCATATATATACTAACACACACACACACAAATAAAGAAATATGAATATTAATATGAATAATCTGCTGTAGAATCCAAGGCCACTAGGAGCGTACTACAACCTTTAGAACATGAAAAAAAAAAGCTTTTGGTGAATTAGTTTTTAATGAAAATATTTGTGCGCTGTACATACAGTAAGGGTGTTATTGTGATTTCGCCGTTTCATTGATTTGGTGGAGGGGGCGTGGCTTTATTACCAGGGGCAAGTTCAAGCTCAAACCGATGTGCACCGTTTTGCTACGGTTTCCGGTTTGAACGACATGTTTCCTGGAAACGGTGTGCAACGGGGTTTGAGATGCGTTTTCTCTTGTTTGGTGGGTGTGTCAAACATGTCAGCCCAATCAGCAGCAGCATGTATATAAACCACGTGGTATTAAAGAGACAGCTCGCACAACGTAATTAACTTCCAAATAAATTCACAAGAGCAAGTATATTGTTTGCACATGCTTATTTACATTAAAGGCAAAATAACTGAAATAATAAGGGCACAAGTATAGATCTGGAACTTCTTTAAGTCTGTCTAAATATCATTTAGTAATTGCAAAGTCTTCTGGTCCATATCCTTTCCTTAGGAAGGTGTGCTAAATACTGATTAATGTAACATAAAAATACTATACATATATTTTGCTTCTCTTTTATTCTGGAGGGCAAGGGCAGTGACTGTACCATCAAGCGTATTTTTCAGTATTAAACACGTATTTATACCGATATCATCAGGCCCGAAAATTCTTCAAAAAGAACACAAAGAATGTCCTTCTCAGCTGCCATAGCTGCAACTCTTGCGTCATCAGAACAGTGTGTTCAACGCACCACCGTTTCCGTTAGAAAAACGTTTTGCACCGTTTTTGTCGGGGCTGAACGCAGCTCAGCTCATTGGGGAGTGTTTTCCTTTATGCAAATGTGTATGAAGTGTTCACTGCGGGTGCAAAAAATATTATACATGCACGTTTTTATTCAAATCTAAATATTAAACAGTATACAATTATGTATAAAATAACAAAACGGCAAAACAACTACAAAAATAATCTAAAAAAGAAATCTTATTTATGTGTTAAATAAGTATTAACATTATACGTGCACTTTCTTTCAGTAAAAGTTGTAGTAAATCAGCTCAAAAGGGAAATATTTATGACTAATTATAACTGGTTATGATTAATAATAAATATTTAGATTAGATCTTAGAATTAAATGTAGCAGAATCAATATTACAATTATTTGATCTGTCCGTCCACCGAGCAGACAATATAATAATTTATCAATTCAAGGAAAGATTATTTTCCCGGCCAAGGAAAGTAGCTTTCCTTCTTTATTCAGTGCTAGCAGTAATTTAGCATATGTAGCAAGGGTTCAAACATTCAGTGACTTCGAATTGTGAGCAGCACACAGAGACAATCAATTGTGAATATAAGGGATTTAATAAATGAAACTATATCTAACATATAAATAACTAAGCAAAACACATATATACAGAATGAAGCAAAGTAAGGAAAAGAGAGAGAAGAGCAAAAGAATGGCAGTATTTCACATCAATTAACCACAACCTAATGAGAATCATCAAAGAATCAAAAATCACCTTAAAAAGGGGCTGAAACTTAAACACGCATCTAAATCATTGTAAACGGTTACTTGCATTGGCTTCGATTGCTGAACAACGGTTCTTGAGTTCTCTTAGAAGTGAGCTGGAAGTTTTCTTTGTCTTCTTCTGAAGATAGGAAAGTCCACAGCGGATCGAAGTTACTTGAAGATAAAAACTGCCGGAAAATCAAACTCAAGAGTCTTGAGGAGTCTTAGTGGGTGTCGTCTCAAAAGAAGAGGTTTTCTGAGCCAAGATCATTTCGAGCTAATGATTTTTGAGGGCTTCTATTCACACCCACCTTTGGGTGGAATAGCCAATACCAGGCGTGAATTTGTGAGCGGGAGAAGTTTCCTTTGTCTCCCTTTATGGCCCATTTGCATGTTTCTGGCCGGTCTGGAATATTGGTGCAGTTTTAACCCAAACACAAGTCATTTACTTGTCTTTGGAAACTGTTTGAAGTCAGTTGGGGAGATGATAGTGGTAGACTGCTTAGCATCTCCTTGATAGTGGGGAGAATTATTTGGCAATTTAGCACCCATATAAATGTATAGTCTGTGGCCAGGACTGTAATTTATATGCAAATGTCAAAAAAGGGGTCTCTTAAGCCATAAACCCCAAAGACCATCCATGATTTTACGCAGACGCTACAAAGTTTTTTTTAAATGAATTTTAAAAAAAGTGAAAAAAAAAGAAAGAAAGAATGAAAATGATAACAAGGTAATGATTCTAAAAACTTTTTTTTCTTTTTTTTAAATAAAGGCCCAATTGCCCAAAAATAAGTGATTTACCGTTCAGGCTAGTTTGGTTTCATTTATTTATTTTATTAGAATTTTTCCATTTTTCTTCCGTCATATGAATGTAATGTATGAATGTGTAAGGTCCGCGCACCTGGCCCAACGAAGGTATCCAGTGGCGGATGAAGGTCTCTTGCGTGTTCGGTCTTTTCAGCGCGCGGAGTTATTCAATTTAGGTTTAACTCAATCTGACTCCATTTTAGTATCTGAATTCTAATTTAGGTTGAAAGGCACATTGGTTCCTCCAAATGGAGGCATGTACAAACAATTGCATTGAGCCAGGTGCCAGACCTGGGTGGTCTACACCTCAATGGGAACAAACGGTAATTTGCATGAGATTGCTCTCTATGGTGATCAAAGTTTCTCTTAACTCTTAGGATCTGTATTATCTTTTAGTAAGATTAAGACCATTGTACCACTTGCCCTGAAACTATTCAAATGAAACCAAACATGACTGTAAATCTTATTTGCATTCATTTAGAACATTATATTCTTGACCAGTTTGAGTGAAAAGGCACAGATGCATATGTGAGAGAGGCGTTTCCCGCACCAGCCCTCTGTGGGGTGTCCTGAAGATGCCAGTGCATTGTTTGCCTCTCAGGAGATCAAAGTATTCTAGTTTCTTTTATCCTTACAAATGTAAGGTTAAATTAGGCTAATTTTATTAGGTACTAGGTTTGGTCTATAAAACTGTGTGAGCAATAATAGTATGGATTCATTGAAACTCTTCTGACGTTTGAGGATGCACATAACGAATATGAAATCAGAGTAGCATCAACAAGTGGTTCCTTTCTGACAATGACCTGCAGAGATCCTGTTCTGCCGTTTCTGCATATTCTGCTAACTCATGCGTCGCCTCTGTCAGTGTATATGTGTGTGTTCATGAACGAAAGAGGTCCATCCTTCCTCGGGCCTTTTCCTTTCCTCCCCTTTCTTGGGGTTTTACTTCACCGTTTCTTCCAACTAGGCAGCGCCAGGAAGCTTTAACAATATGAGAAGAACTGGACACAAACACACCCATCACGCCCGCCTCCCAAAAATGACAAACACACATCCTTGAGCACTAGGAGAGATCAGAGACAGCGGTTCCCCTGTTTTATCACTCCATCTCTACTCCTATAAGACACCATAGTAAAGGTCAAAGGTCAACAAGCAGCTTTATTTGTTGAAAAATGATTTTATTTAGAATTTAGGTAAGATCTTCATATAACAGGCAAAAACTGAGGAATAGCGCTATCATGTACCAAGGACATTAAACATGTCTTATACAAGTAAACCAAATTTACCCTTAAAGCATAAATACATTTCCTTTAACAGTATTTTCACACATGCACAAGCCCCTGAGGGCCCCTGTAACCTCCACGTCTCATCAAGCATTTATTCTCTCTTATCAGTGTCAGTGTTTGTGCGCAGACGTGCCATCCTGAGCTTCCTGTATTTCATTCACATGGGTGGGACAAACATTCCCAGTGAAGTCATTTACATCGAGACTTCTGTTTCTAATGAAACATACCTTTGAGGGCCTGGCCGGCTCTGATAATGCGTCTATCGTATGTCGATGGAGATCAAGCCACCGTACAGGAGTGAAAGCCTCCCGGCGGTGAACTTCAAAGAAAGCGAGGAAATATTGAAAACAGCTTAACCTCTGGCATTTCATCATATACCACACCCAGATCTCAGCTGCCAGGCGAACTACAGAACCCACAGCCAAAATAAACTAAATATGGGAGAAGAACTGTGTTTACAATTCACAACAAAGAGAAAAAGTGTCCAAAAGAATGATAAAAAACTGACTAATTTATTAAGACAATTGTTTTAAAAATCTGTTTCTATTGTATTACAACTACTTTGCGTTGACCCAATTCCGAAAATTATTATAATCTCAAGGACAAAAACTGATTAATAGCATAGAATCTATACTATTAAATGAATGAATAATGACTATAAATAAATTATTATTATTATGAATGTCCATAATGTATATAATAAATAATAATAATAAATTAGAAACTAAATGCTAAAAACTTGTGAATTTTCAGGGTAGCAACTTAAAATCACACACGCACAAAAAACATGTTCATTACTTGAAAATAAAATAATAAAATAGATATTTTAAAAACTTATTTTATTTCAGCTTCAACATTTCTCATTTTGTTCAGTGCAAGTTAGTTTACTATATAGACATTAAAAACACTAATACAAATGACAAAAACACAACAAAAGTACTACAACTAACTAAAATGAAAGTGAAAACAGAAAATATATAAATAAAATCTAATCAAAAACTGTAATGATTCATCAGTGATACTAAAATACCAATGGTCGCAACATTATAATGTACTGTTTGAAAAATAGATATTTTGAAATTTGCTAAAGATTATATTTAACAGTGTTAAATATCCACAATTAAATATCCAATATCAGCTTATACAGCTGTATTCAATTATTCTAATATCGACTAATAACTGATATGGTGCCGACAAATTGTAAATCATTTAATAAACATCCTCAGTCTCCAATTTCCTTTTAGCACTGTCTTTTCTCACTGAATATTTTGTTTCACTTTATGGACTGTGACTGTAATTTCATGTTATTATAAACATTTACATTGAGTTACATAATTACTACAATGTAATCTGCTAAACCCTTTTATTCAAGTATATCAATTCATAATTTACTGTACAATAAATGAGAAAAAAGTGCAGATCTGGGTTGCAACCCAAAAAACAGAGTCAGACTTTGATATAACAGAATATCAGAATATATGACATTAAACACACGAGTGATTTATGTACAATCCCTGCATTGCTTTAGGCTCCATGCTTACACACTCTCACTGCACATGCATTCCTTACTGTACATCACAGAAGACATCGTATGTCTGCTGTCTATACACAAATCAGAAAATATGATTCGTGTTTTTGGTCAAAGCCATGTGAAGGGCAGAATGCCCTCGCTGTCGTAACAGAGAGCCACAGCATCCTTTCAGAAGAACACCGAAGGTGGAAGGAAGTCTTGAGTGATTGTGACGCTCCTAGAGTCATGACACTTCCCACAGAGTCTGTGCGCTTATATTTCACACAGGATGACAGGGAAGTCAGCGTGGATTCGTGGGTGATCCAACTGAATGACTCCCTGTAGAAATGACATTTTAAAAATACTGTAAAAAAAATGTAATCTAAAAAAACAGAGCTATAAAACTAAATCATGTGATTTAAGGTAAGTGAAATGTTTACATAAGACACCATGAACAAACAAACAAAAAAAGATGTGTTGAGAAAGGAGACCAGGATCAAACATCAAACAAACAAACAATTAAATAAATAAATAGAAAAATAAATAAATAAATGTTTAAACATGAATGAATGAATGAAGGTAAATTAAATGTTTAGATGAGAGACAATGAATGAATGAATATTAAATAAATAAATGTTTAACCTTAAATAAATAAATGTTTAAATAAGAGACCAACAAATAAAGAAAAATAATAATAAATAAGATTGTAGTCAATAGTTTTTTTAGGCTTTGTTTTTTTTAGCAGATACACATTTTAAAAAATGTGGTATCTTTCTGTTATGGAAAAACTGACCAAAATATTTCATAATAAATTATACATTTCATATGCTACTAAAAATAACAAGTAGCAAATCGTAGGTTTTCCAGGCTGTGATGTAAATTAAAAAAAGGACAAGCCCTTGAATAAATCCAATCTAACATTGTCTTTAAGATTAATTTTAGAGTTTAATCATCATAATTTGAAATTATTCTGTTTACATTTCACATGATGTCTTGAGCTGATCCTGTTGATTTACACTAAATATTTCTCTGTAACTGACTGGATCAGTATCTCTCACCTGAGGTATAAGGTTTTTCTGGATTCTCTTCAGTTTAGCTTTCTTTCTGCCGTTCTTGGTCACCACGGTCTCCTCATAAAATTCATGAGCCAGATCTCCATCTTCATCGAAATACAAGGAACTGCAACAACAAACAGCAGCTGGATGAATGCAGGTCTCACTTCACCCATAAAACAAGAACTTATTAAGAATTTAAAATGTGAAGTCTTTATTTATTATCATTAAATTAAATATTGATTTCTTTATGATTCTGGCATAATTCAAATTGAGCACACTTTCCTGCAAACTACTGAAAAATGGCAGTTTTGTTGTTTGATGAATGGTGACAGTGAGATTTGAGTTACATTATTAAGAATTAAGCAAAGAATGTGTCTTTCTAGAAACAAAATATAGCTTCTTATTACCTTTTCATGGTTTTGAGGTGAAATGTGACATGGTCCTGACATGAGACTGACTTCACCAAGAACTGACTAAACTAAATAGCTTGCAGATCATCCAGGTCAAAAGCCTGCAAGATCACAGTTTTTAATGTTTACCTTCTCCTTGTAAAGACAAACGGTGTTGTGTTCTTGGAGCCTCGTAGACGTGCTAAACACTGTTCGTTGACCTCACCGGGAGCTTCTCCTGCAGCTCCTGAGCTGCTAAAAGGCCAGACTCCTTTGGTTTTGGATCCGCTGCCTCCCATTTTTATTGACAACGCATTACTGTAGAGGCGGAGCGGCCAGCAGATCACGTCGGTTCAGTCCTGAAACATGACAATGTTATTTGAGAGCATATTACAGACTTCTCAAGCAACATATGTTAATGCAACTGGGCATGTGTGGTTTCAAAGCACTGCTGTGGCTGAACTAGCTCTCTGAACTCTGAGCAAGAAACTGTGGTCAGGTTTTTTTACAGTCTGTAATACCTGGAGGCAAGGTCCAAAATGAACGCTCACCAAGCACTAGATGGCTTTGGTGGATGGTAACTTTTATAGGAAATGCAACATACCAACTGAAATGTGTCGTTTTCTTTTTGGGGCTAAAATAAATTAATAAACAAATCAATAATACTTATTTAAAAAAAACGAATCTGCATAATTTAAAAGCAAACAGAAAGGTTATTTGTGACAGGTCTGCTTAAAATGGTCCGATGATTATGTGACAAAAATAAAGATCTGAGAATCACTGTATATTGATCACTACACCAGTGTAAAGAAGGCAAAGCTATCTGAATATGAATGAGTCATTATTCAAGTATTTTACGTACACATATTTTGTGTATATTTGACCATTTGAGTAAAAACACCAGCATTCTCAACAGTCTCCGAGTCCCAGTTAGTTAGCAGGCTAGCTGATTAACAACCCGTCTTCTCACAACTAACCACTATTTTACAAGTCTTTGAAATCTAATACATTTGCAGTACGAATGCACGTATTTTTTCTCAAAATGTTACTGACTCGCACTAATAAGACTGAATCTTATTGAATTGCTTGTAATGTAAACAAGACATAAGCCATTCAACACACACCAAAACACGACTACCACGCGTTTCAGTTCATCGGTTCGGTTCGGTTTCATTCCAGAAGACACTCAAATAAAAGATCATGTGAAACGCATACATACAGATCATGTACATCTCATTGTTTTGGTTCTTCTAGTCTGCTTTCTTCAAGCGCTATGACGTAGTTTCGACGTCACATTTACGCGCCCAGTCCCCGAAACCAACCAGAGCCCGTTGCTGCAGTCACCTATTATTTCTTTCTTTCTTTTTCTTTTCTTTATATTTTATATTATATTATATATATATTATTTAAAGAAGCTTGAAGATTTATTTATTTTATTAATTTTGCTCTTTATTTTATTGTTTATATATTATATTATATTATTATATTACATAATATTCTATTATTTAAAGAAGCTTGATGACAATCTATGTTATTGATTTATCTATTTATTGTAAAGCTAATTGTATATATTACATTATATTATATTATATTATATTATATTATATTATATTATATTATATTATATTATATTATATTATAAACTTGACGACTTATTTATTTTGTGTAATTTAGGCTTTTTGTTTTTTTTATTTTAAAAGTAAAAGTAATTTGTTTTATTTTATTTTCATGGAAGACTTCTCTAGTATCTATCTATCTATCTATCTATCTATCTATCTATCTATCTATCTATCTATCTATTATCTGTCTGTCTGTCTGTCTATCTATCTATCTATCTATCTATCGGTCGGTTGGTCTGTCAGTCTGTCTGTCTGTCTATCTATCGGTCGCTTGGTCTGTCTGTCTGTCTATCTGTCTATCTATCATCTATCTGTCTGTCTGTCTGTCTATCTATCGGTCGCTTGGTCTGTCTGTCTGTCTATCTATCGGTCGCTTGGTCTGTCTGTCTGTCTATCTATCGGTCGCTTGGTCTGTCTGTCTGTCTATCTATCGGTCGCTTGGTCTGTCTGTCTGTCTATCTATCGGTCGCTTGGTCTGTCTGTCTGTCTATCTATCGGTCGCTTGGTCTGTCTGTCTGTCTATCTATCGGTCGCTTGGTCTGTCTGTCTGTCTATCTATCGGTCGCTTGGTCTGTCTGTCTGTCTATCTATCGGTCGCTTGGTCTGTCTGTCTGTCTATCTATCGGTCGCTTGGTCTGTCTGTCTGTCTATCTATCGGTCGCTTGGTCTGTCTGTCTGTCTATCTATCGGTCGCTTGGTCTGTCTGTCTGTCTATCTATCGGTCGCTTGGTCTGTCTGTCTGTCTATCTATCGGTCGCTTGGTCTGTCTGTCTGTCTATCTATCGGTCGCTTGGTCTGTCTGTCTGTCTATCTATCGGTCGCTTGGTCTGTCTGTCTGTCTATCTATCGGTCGCTTGGTCTGTCTGTCTGTCTATCTATCGGTCGCTTGGTCTGTCTGTCTGTCTATCTATCGGTCGCTTGGTCTGTCTGTCTGTCTATCTATCGGTCGCTTGGTCTGTCTGTCTGTCTATCTATCGGTCGCTTGGTCTGTCTGTCTGTCTATCTATCGGTCGCTTGGTCTGTCTGTCTGTCTATCTATCGGTCGCTTGGTCTGTCTGTCTGTCTATCTATCGGTCGCTTGGTCTGTCTGTCTGTCTATCTATCGGTCGCTTGGTCTGTCTGTCTGTCTATCTATCGGTCGCTTGGTCTGTCTGTCTGTCTATCTATCGGTCGCTTGGTCTGTCTGTCTGTCTATCTATCGGTCGCTTGGTCTGTCTGTCTGTCTATCTATCGGTCGCTTGGTCTGTCTGTCTGTCTATCTATCGGTCGCTTGGTCTGTCTGTCTGTCTATCTATCGGTCGCTTGGTCTGTCTGTCTGTCTATCTATCGGTCGCTTGGTCTGTCTGTCTGTCTATCTATCGGTCGCTTGGTCTGTCTGTCTGTCTATCTATCGGTCGCTTGGTCTGTCTGTCTGTCTATCTATCGGTCGCTTGGTCTGTCTGTCTGTCTATCTATCGGTCGCTTGGTCTGTCTGTCTGTCTATCTATCGGTCGCTTGGTCTGTCTGTCTGTCTATCTATCGGTCGCTTGGTCTGTCTGTCTGTCTATCTATCGGTCGCTTGGTCTGTCTGTCTGTCTATCTATCGGTCGCTTGGTCTGTCTGTCTGTCTATCTATCGGTCGCTTGGTCTGTCTGTCTGTCTATCTATCGGTCGCTTGGTCTGTCTGTCTGTCTATCTATCGGTCGCTTGGTCTGTCTGTCTGTCTATCTATCGGTCGCTTGGTCTGTCTGTCTGTCTATCTATCGGTCGCTTGGTCTGTCTGTCTGTCTATCTATCGGTCGCTTGGTCTGTCTGTCTGTCTATCTATCGGTCGCTTGGTCTGTCTGTCTGTCTATCTATCGGTCGCTTGGTCTGTCTGTCTGTCTATCTATCGGTCGCTTGGTCTGTCTGTCTGTCTATCTATCGGTCGCTTGGTCTGTCTGTCTGTCTATCTATCGGTCGCTTGGTCTGTCTGTCTGTCTATCTATCGGTCGCTTGGTCTGTCTGTCTGTCTATCTATCGGTCGCTTGGTCTGTCTGTCTGTCTATCTATCGGTCGCTTGGTCTGTCTGTCTGTCTATCTATCGGTCGCTTGGTCTGTCTGTCTGTCTATCTATCGGTCGCTTGGTCTGTCTGTCTGTCTATCTATCGGTCGCTTGGTCTGTCTGTCTGTCTATCTATCGGTCGCTTGGTCTGTCTGTCTGTCTATCTATCGGTCGCTTGGTCTGTCTGTCTGTCTATCTATCGGTCGCTTGGTCTGTCTGTCTGTCTATCTATCGGTCGCTTGGTCTGTCTGTCTGTCTATCTATCGGTCGCTTGGTCTGTCTGTCTGTCTATCTATCGGTCGCTTGGTCTGTCTGTCTGTCTATCTATCGGTCGCTTGGTCTGTCTGTCTGTCTATCTATCGGTCGCTTGGTCTGTCTGTCTGTCTATCTATCGGTCGCTTGGTCTGTCTGTCTGTCTATCTATCGGTCGCTTGGTCTGTCTGTCTGTCTATCTATCGGTCGCTTGGTCTGTCTGTCTGTCTATCTATCGGTCGCTTGGTCTGTCTGTCTGTCTATCTATCGGTCGCTTGGTCTGTCTGTCTGTCTATCTATCGGTCGCTTGGTCTGTCTGTCTGTCTATCTATCGGTCGCTTGGTCTGTCTGTCTGTCTATCTATCGGTCGCTTGGTCTGTCTGTCTGTCTATCTATCGGTCGCTTGGTCTGTCTGTCTGTCTATCTATCGGTCGCTTGGTCTGTCTGTCTGTCTATCTATCGGTCGCTTGGTCTGTCTGTCTGTCTATCTATCGGTCGCTTGGTCTGTCTGTCTGTCTATCTATCGGTCGCTTGGTCTGTCTGTCTGTCTATCTATCGGTCGCTTGGTCTGTCTGTCTGTCTATCTATCGGTCGCTTGGTCTGTCTGTCTGTCTATCTATCGGTCGCTTGGTCTGTCTGTCTGTCTATCTATCGGTCGCTTGGTCTGTCTGTCTGTCTATCTATCGGTCGCTTGGTCTGTCTGTCTGTCTATCTATCGGTCGCTTGGTCTGTCTGTCTGTCTATCTATCGGTCGCTTGGTCTGTCTGTCTGTCTATCTATCGGTCGCTTGGTCTGTCTGTCTGTCTATCTATCGGTCGCTTGGTCTGTCTGTCTGTCTATCTATCGGTCGCTTGGTCTGTCTGTCTGTCTATCTATCGGTCGCTTGGTCTGTCTGTCTGTCTATCTATCGGTCGCTTGGTCTGTCTGTCTGTCTATCTATCGGTCGCTTGGTCTGTCTGTCTGTCTATCTATCGGTCGCTTGGTCTGTCTGTCTGTCTATCTATCGGTCGCTTGGTCTGTCTGTCTGTCTATCTATCGGTCGCTTGGTCTGTCTGTCTGTCTATCTATCGGTCGCTTGGTCTGTCTGTCTGTCTATCTATCGGTCGCTTGGTCTGTCTGTCTGTCTATCTATCGGTCGCTTGGTCTGTCTGTCTGTCTATCTATCGGTCGCTTGGTCTGTCTGTCTGTCTATCTATCGGTCGCTTGGTCTGTCTGTCTGTCTATCTATCGGTCGCTTGGTCTGTCTGTCTGTCTATCTATCGGTCGCTTGGTCTGTCTGTCTGTCTATCTATCGGTCGCTTGGTCTGTCTGTCTGTCTATCTATCGGTCGCTTGGTCTGTCTGTCTGTCTATCTATCGGTCGCTTGGTCTGTCTGTCTGTCTATCTATCGGTCGCTTGGTCTGTCTGTCTGTCTATCTATCGGTCGCTTGGTCTGTCTGTCTGTCTATCTATCGGTCGCTTGGTCTGTCTGTCTGTCTATCTATCGGTCGCTTGGTCTGTCTGTCTGTCTATCTATCGGTCGCTTGGTCTGTCTGTCTGTCTATCTATCGGTCGCTTGGTCTGTCTGTCTGTCTATCTATCGGTCGCTTGGTCTGTCTGTCTGTCTATCTATCGGTCGCTTGGTCTGTCTGTCTGTCTATCTATCGGTCGCTTGGTCTGTCTGTCTGTCTATCTATCGGTCGCTTGGTCTGTCTGTCTGTCTATCTATCGGTCGCTTGGTCTGTCTGTCTGTCTATCTATCGGTCGCTTGGTCTGTCTGTCTGTCTATCTATCGGTCGCTTGGTCTGTCTGTCTGTCTATCTATCGGTCGCTTGGTCTGTCTGTCTGTCTATCTATCGGTCGCTTGGTCTGTCTGTCTGTCTATCTATCGGTCGCTTGGTCTGTCTGTCTGTCTATCTATCGGTCGCTTGGTCTGTCTGTCTGTCTATCTATCGGTCGCTTGGTCTGTCTGTCTGTCTATCTATCGGTCGCTTGGTCTGTCTGTCTGTCTATCTATCGGTCGCTTGGTCTGTCTGTCTGTCTATCTATCGGTCGCTTGGTCTGTCTGTCTGTCTATCTATCGGTCGCTTGGTCTGTCTGTCTGTCTATCTATCGGTCGCTTGGTCTGTCTGTCTGTCTATCTATCGGTCGCTTGGTCTGTCTGTCTGTCTATCTATCGGTCGCTTGGTCTGTCTGTCTGTCTATCTATCGGTCGCTTGGTCTGTCTGTCTGTCTATCTATCGGTCGCTTGGTCTGTCTGTCTGTCTATCTATCGGTCGCTTGGTCTGTCTGTCTGTCTATCTATCTATCTATCTCTCTGTCTATCTATCTATCTATCTATCTATCTATCGTCTATCTGCCTGTCTGTCTGTCTATGTATCTATCTATCTATCATCTATCTGTCTCTCTCTCTGTCTGTCTG